CCCCCCCCCCCCCCCCCCCCGTGGTTGTCTGGGTTATTCACATTCCGGAAGCGCTGATGTGGCACTAAATATTCCTAGGGCCCCAGACATCCCCCCTGGGGCTCAGAGTCATCTCTCTGAGTCTACTTTCTGGAATGTTTTTGGTATGAAGTATCTGGCAGGTGAGGGGAAGGGCCCAGCAATATGGAATCCACATCCCCAGAGCCTGGGTCTCTTTAGGGACTGGTATAAGATACCCTCTACCCCTCCAGAGTCTCTTTCCCCAGCGGCCTGTCCACCTCCCAGGTCCCTTCTCTCCTGCCCACCCCTCCCCGCCTCTGGCTTGAAAGTGATAGATCAAGCAAACAAACCTCAAAGAGGACAAAAGATCTCAGTCCTGGAGAATTCCATGGACTGTGTACTCTGTGGGGTCCAGAGAGTTGGACACAACTGACAGCTTTCCCAGCCACAGCCGCGTCTTAGACAGTCCACCCCCAGCAGTGCTGGTGGGATGTGCTGCTGAAGCTGTGGTGTCCCTTCTGTCATCCCGGCTCCCCACACCAGCTTCTCTCTGTTCTCACTCACCCTCTGCTTTTCCAGCTCCCTTTTGAGCCTTTGGAGGGAAGGGGAAGGCATTTGGAACAGAAATAACTGCTACCCCATTATGTCTAGACAAGAGCAGGACCTGCACATTTGTAGTTCCATTCACTGATATTCACGGGTATTCTCCCAACTCTCCAAAGCCTATCTAGATTAAATAAATCCCACATCGCCCACTCCTGCTGAGATTTGGCATTCCCCCAGACCTGGATTTCAAGAGATGTGGTTTTATCCCTGGGATGGGAAGATCCCCTGGAGGAGGAAATGGCAATCCACTCTAGTGTTCTCGCCTGGGAAATCCCACGGAAAACCTGATGTCACCGAGTTGGACATGACTGAGTGATTAACACTTTTCACTTTCACCTGCTGGTTCAGTGGTAAAGAATACACTTTCAATGCAGGAGACACTGTTTGATCTCTGGGCCAGGAAGATCCCATGGAATAGGAATGGTAACCCACTGCAGTATTCTTGCCTGGGAATCCCATGGACAGAGAAGCCTGGGGGCCACAGTCCCTGGGGTCACAAGAGTTGGACATGACTTAGTGATTAAACCACCATCACCAAGTGGTTGATACATAAGCACTTAAATGGTAGCCCCTGTTACCTTCTAAATTGCAATTATTTTCCATCACCCCATTTCCCCTTCACCATTATCTGAACTGACAATTTTTCTATTGAACTTTATTTTTAATACATGCTGGCTTGCTGTTCAGTCTGCATCCTCTTTGAGGTTAAAATCTGTGTTGCACCAGCAACAATTACCTCTGTCTTTCACAGAGCTTTCACTTTTTTCCTGAGTCAGTGAATAAATGAACACAGCTGACTCCACATCTGAACTCTCTGCTTCTTGGGTAAAGATTCTCTCTGAAGCTTTTCCTATGTCTACCCAGAGTTTGACACAGAGCTCCGCATTCATTTGGACCACAAAGATATCAGACTGAAATATCCCATTTGCAGCCTGAACAGTTTGCTTCCTTTCCCATCCTGACCCCACAGTCACCTGGCCTCCTCACTTCTTTCCCAGACTCAGCAACTTTGCCAGCTTCGCACAGCAGGGAAGGGGGAGAGGGCAGGTGCTCCACGCCAGCAGGCACTGCAGGCTGGTGGGAGGGCAGGTGTGTGCAGAGCTGGCAGTTGGAGCTGGCCAGGACTGGGGCTGTTTGGGGGCTTGTGCACAGCAGAGGCGGGTAAGGCATGGGGGAGGGAGTCTGCTTGGAGCCAGAGCCAGCCAGTTGCGGGCCTGCACTTTGTCCTTATCCTCCCTTTCATCCTGGCCCCCGGAGCCTGGGAGTTTCTCAATGGAACTGGCGTCCGGGGAATGCTCTGCAGGGGGTGGAGAGGGCTGGCCAATGAGGGGGGCATTCCAGGCATTCTTTACATCCTCCAGAAGCCAGGCAGTTGGGCGCAGAGTGCGGAGAAGCTGCCCTGCACCAGAGGGAAAAGGATTTCTTTGGAAGGAGAGAATAAAGGTGGCGGGGGTGCCTTCAAGCAGCGAGGGACAGCGCTGGGTGGGGGAGGAATGGAAGGGCTATATAACCTGATGAACCCAGTTCTTCAGTGCTAAAGGCAGAAAGGGCAAATTGGGACCCCCAGTTCAGGGCTCTCTCCCCTCTGTGCTTACAAGGGCAGAACTGCTGCTGGAGATACCTGCGAGTCTTTTGGAGCTAAGAGCCAGGTTTTTGTTGTGTTTTGCTTTCATTAAGCAGGTTCTCCATTTTTCACTCCAGAGTCCAAGGAGGTGTTAGGAGAAAACTCAAAGATCTGTGTCCCACTACCCAAACAAAATGACTGAAGCTATTTTCCAATCACCATTCTCATTTTTAATGGGGTAGTTCTTTCTAATCACATGAGGGAAGAGGGACCATCAGGTAGCCAGAATCAGGGCATGGAGTCAGGGAGCCAGAGACCCCTTCCAGATAGTGCAATGGGACATGTAGATTTACAAAAGATTCTCACCCCCACAGCTTTTAATCAGTAAGGAAGCACTGCAATAATACCTCCCTGTACACAAAACTTAGATGTCATAGTGGAATTCCCCAGAACATAGCATTCACATTATTGAAAATAGTAACATTAGCTTTTTTAAAAACACAGAGCTAAAACATTAAAATAAATAAGAACTTTCTAGGGCCCTAAAGGCCCTAAGAGAAACAGATACATCCATTCTCAACAGCAGGAGCAGCTTGGAGGCTGGAGAAGTTCAGAGTCCTTGAGGTCCAAAGTGGGGTCCAGGGGAATCGGAGCCCCTTGAGATGAAGTCCATTAGCAGCCTGAGCCTTTTCAAGTCTTTTAGATTCACAGCAGCGACTCCGTTCACCCTGCGGCACGAGGACCTCCTGGCTGACCTGGTCTCTCCCTCAGGTAGACAGCTGGTCCCTGGGCGTTCTCCTCTACATCCTGGTGCATGGCTCCATGCCCTCTGACGGGCAGGACCACAAGACGCTGGTGAAACAGGTCAGCAACAGGGCCTACCGGCAGCCTCCTAAACCCTCTGGTGAGTGAGGGATATGGGCATTCTCACCCACACGCTGGGTGTCCTCTGCTAATTCCTGATGCAGGAATTAAACAGTGACAGGAAAGTGAAGCTTCCCCGGTGGCCCAGACTGTAAAGAACCTGCCTGCAAAGCTGGAGACTGGGGTTCGATCCCTGGGTCTGAAAGATCCCCTGGAGAAGGGAATGGCAACCCACTCCAGTATTCTTGCCTGGAGAACTCCATGGACTGAGGGAATTGTCTGCAATTGCAGCCTGGTGGGCTACAGTCCATGGGGTTGCAAAGAGTCAGACGTGACTGAGCTATTTTCACTTCCCCTTTCCAGGTTTGGAGGATGGGAAGGGGGAGAGATCCTTTGAGGAAACAGAGGTTGTATTCTCTTACTGCTCAGGTAAGTAAGGAAGGGCACACTCTAGGAGACCATTCCCAAGCCACCCCGGGGAAAACTGGGCAGGGGGGCACATTCCAGTTTGAGTGGTTCTGTCAGGGGAAGCACACTGACTGGAACCGCCCACCCTGGCCAGGCACCATAGCAACCGTTTGCTTGAGTTGTTTTATGACAAGAGATCCTGCTAAGGAACACAGAACTAACAAGCCTCCACCAACTGGAAAAGTTCGGGAAAGGTCAAAAGGAGACACCACAGGTCCAACCACCTCCCAGAATCCTTCTCTCTGGCATCCATCTTGGCTGAACAAGGCGTGCACCACCAGGAAGGACTCTGAGTCAGAATGATTGGCTAAGGACAACCTGGAAACTAACCCCATCACCATGAACCCCAAGACTGCAAGCCACTGGCAGAGCAGTCCTCCTGGGATCCCTTGCCCTCCTGCTCTCCACCCGGGTGCCTTTCCCAATAAAGTCTCTTGCTTTGTCAGCACATGTGTCTCCTCGGACAATTCATTTCCGAGTGTTAGACAAGAGCCCAGTTCCAGGCCCTGAAAGGGGCCCCCCTTCCTGAAACAGTTGGTGAAGAAGGGAATGTGTATATGAATGAAGAGCTTCCAGCCCTACCTTGGCAGGACGGCATCACACACAAACTTACTCTTTACAGGAGCTAGGCACTGATAGAGCGCCTTTTCCAGCTCTCTGTGGCCCTACTATGGGGAGAGCACAGGCAACCCTGTGCCCGCAGGAGGGAGGGCACCCAGCAGCGACCCTGGCCGGGCCTCCATGGCTCAGTGGCTGTGACGCCAGCATCTGCTTAAGAAGTCCAGGAGTAAGAACTACATGGCCCAGACCCTCCAGGGGGACGCCGCCCCTCGCCCTGGTAAGGGCGGCCTCAAGCTTCCAAAGGCATTCTCAAGAAGAAGGCGTCAACCCCCTCAGAGGGTGCAATGGGCAAGGCAACCTGGAAATTAACAGGCAACCTGGACTCGGCCACAGGCCTTCCTTGCTGCTTCTCTACTCATTTCCCCTCTAGAGCTACCTTTTTGGTTCCACGGGGCTGAAGACGTTGAACCCTCAATGCACTTCACTTGCCCAATGCCCACATCCAGCCCTTCCCAGGGCTCAACTGAACCACCTCAGCCTTCTGGGCTGGGATGCAGGTCCTGGGAGGCAGGGAAGAAGGCAGTCTCCCCCTCAGAGTGCATCTAGCTGCATCTCAGAGCCTGCCCGCACGGGCAATGCCCACCCTCACCCCGCTTCAGCTGAGCTCCGAGCAGACCCTCAGCCCCTGCTGGCAGCCCTCTGTCCCCTCCGGGCAGTCCAACAGGGAAAAGCAGCTAGTCCCCAGGGGGTCCTGCCTCCAGCGCCTCAGGCCTCGGCTTCCAGGGCCCTCCGAGGGGGGTGCCTCCAGCCCCATGAGGTTGTCCACAGACACACAGCCCCGCAGTGGGGGCTCGGGGAGCCGTTCGGGCAAGTCCAGCTGGTCAAAGGACTCAGAGGACAGGATGCTATCCTCACTCACAGCCCCCGAGGGGCGGCTGGCCCGGGCTGAAGGGTGTGGGGAGGTCAGTTCATCCAAAGAGCCGAAGGTGGCGGGGGCTGTGTGCTCCAGGGCCGCATGCGAGAACTTGCCGTTGTGTTTGAGGATGCCCTTGCGGTGCGGCAGCCGCTCCAAGGCTGGCGGGGGCTTGGGCTCCACGGCATCCCCACTCACAAACACATCCCCAGCATCCAAGAGCTCCCCAGACTCACTGGGCTCAGGGGACGAGTAGTAACCGGACTCCCGCTGGCGCGCCTTCTTGAGGATGCCCTTCTTTGGGAGCAGCGGGCCAGCCTGGCCTGGGTTGGCGGGGCTCGGGCCAGGCTCAGGGTCCTCCCTCGGCCCCTCTGTGGGATTCGACGTCTTCTTCTTGAGAATGCCTTTCGGCAGCTTGAGGCCACCCTTCCCAGGGCGAGGGGAGGTGTCGGCAGCCGGGGCCCCCTGGAGGATCTGGGCCATGGCGTTCTCCTTGCGGGACTTCTTGAGTGAGTGCTGGCGCTCCAGGCCGGGGGTGAGGCCCCTGCCACCCGGCGCCTGCTGCTTCAAGAAGCTGCAGACCTTGGCGCCGTTCTCCAGGAGGGGGCGGGAGGAGCGTCGCAGCCACTGAGCCACGGAGGCCCGGCCAGGGTCACTGCCAGGGTGCCCGCCCTCGTGTGGGGCTCCCTGCTCCCCAACACGGGTGGCATAGCCCCAGTTGACCCACCAGTGGCTGGCCACATCCTCCAGGGTGGCCCGGCGGGTAGGGTTTACCATCAACAGCCACCGGATCAGGCCACAGGCATCTAGAAGGAGAGAGACAGAGGCTCCAGCTCGGTAGCCACGAGCACGGGCACCCACAGTGTCCCTCCCAGCTCACCCCACGGATGCTAAGATGGGGCTCCCTCCCAGGTCAGCTGTGCCCCCAGGCAGGCTCCCCAGTCTCCAGGGCCTCAGGACCATAGCCATGTTTATTACATGTGTGCTCCTTTGCTCCAATGAAATGCAGGCTTCTGGGGGTGGGGCTGGGGTGGGGGTTGCCGCTCAAGAATATACCAAGGTCCTCACACCCTTCTTCTCACCTCATACATCGTACACGAAAGGACAAAGAGATTTCTAAGGACAAACGTAGTAGGAAATCAGACGACTGTGGCAAAGAGGATCTAAACTAGGCTTTAGGAAGCACTTCCCAAATAAGCATGCCCATAAGGGAAGATCCAGCCCCTCCATCCTTGCAGGTCACAGACACAGGAGGCAAAGAGATAAGAGCAGGAGGTGGGGTGGAAGGCACCTTCATCTTCAGTGGGTTGCCATCTTCACTTGGAAAGTGAAAGTGAAAATAGCTCAGTCACGTCTGACTCTTTGCAACCCCATGGACTGTAGCCCACCAGGCTGTAATTGCAGACAATTCCCTCAGTCCATGGAGTTCTCCAGGCAAGAATACTGGAGTGGGTTGCCATTCCCTTCTCCAGGGGATCTTTCAGACCCAGGGATCGAACCCCAGTCTCCAGCTTTGCAGGCAAATTCTTCACAGTCTGGGCCACTGGGGAAGCTCCACTTTCCTGTCACTGTTTAATTCCTGCATCAGGAATTAGCAGAGGACACCCAGCGTGTGGGTGAGAATGCCCACATCCCTCACTCACCAGAGGGTTTAGGAGGCTGCCGGTAGGCCCCGTTGCTGATCTGTTTCACCAGCGTCTTGTGGTCCTGCCCATCAAAGGGCATGGAGCCATGCACCAGGATGTAGAGGAGAACGCCCAGGGACCAGCTGTCCACCTGAGGGAGAGACCAGGTCAGCCAGGAGGTCTTCATGCCGCAGGGCGAACCCAGAGCCCAGTGCATCCGAGGACCCAGGGGCAGAGAGGGCCATACTGTAGAAGGGACTGAGATTCACAGAGAGAGGTGTTGTCATCTGCCTCAGCTTGGGGAGGCTGGCCGGGGGCCAGGAGAGGTAATGGGAATGCAGAAGGTGTGGGGCACAGAGCCAGGCTGTCAGGGGTCAGGGGCCTTCAGCTCTCATGCCAGTTTTGCTACTCCCAGCTACAGAACTGGCTAGGCACTGCTTTGGCAGGGAAGTGAGTCTTGCAATCTGAGAAAGGGAATCATTAGAAAACCAGCTCATCCCTCTCTCAAGATCTAAGCCGAGAGATTAGGAGGAGGCCAGGCACTCACCTCTGGTCCCGTGTAGGGCTTTCCATTGACGATCTCGGGCGAGGCGTAGAGCGGGCTCCCGCAGAATGTCTGCAGGAACTTGCCCTGGTGGTAGAGGTTGGAGAGGCCAAAGTCGGCGATCTGTAGGATTGTGTCAAACAGGGACAGGGTCACGCCAAGGCCTGGACTGTCCTGTAGCTCCTGGTCTGCCCCTCTCCAGAGCCCGAGGAGACACAGGCCCTGGCAGGAGCAAAGGGTGCCCATGACCCCTGCCCCATACTGGGCACCACCAACACAGCTCAGGCCCCGGAAGAAAGAGCCCCTCAGAGGCTGAGTCAGTGAGGTGTGCCTGGGCAGAGATGAGGGGAGCCCCAGGTCCTCACTGTTCCCCAGGCCCTTCGCTCATGCTGCACTCCACTCCACGGATGCTCACTCTGCCTACACACGTCCTACAAACCCAGAAGGCCCACCTCCCCCGGGAAGCCTTCCACTGCCCTGCGATCTCCTCTTCCCATTAAGCCGTACAGGTTCCAATGGCTCACAGAAGCCCCTGCTTGTCAGTTCTGTCTCCTCATGCAGCCATGTCCATACACTCCCCTCGTGGACCACCTGCCCCCACCCCTCCTGCAGCTCCCAGCACAGCTGTGACCCGTTGACGGGACTAATGGCCACTTAGTGACTGAAGGCAGGCTCTTGGTTGGAGGGGGAGAGACAGTGTCCCATATCAGTGCCGAGGACCTCAGAACACAGTCACCCCATGGGCTTGGGGTGCCCTTCCCAGCAAAGGGCTCATCTAGGCCCACATCCAGGTGGGAAAGTGGTGAGGGGACTGGGGTCAGCCCAGGAGACCTGAGAAGCCACAGTGAAGGCAGAGCAAAGATTAGGGCCATCATCATGGCCCAGGAGAAGGGATCGTCTTACAGGAACTCCTGAGCCCTCTGATACTGGGGGTTTGAGGGCCCCCAAGCCCATCTTCTCGCTCCTCAGAGAGACCCTTCCCCCAACTCTCCTCAGACAGAGGCTGAGACCTATGCCCTTTTGCTCCCAGCCCTCCTCCCCAGTAGAGGGTCATGTGTGCCCAGAGTAGGGAGGAGCTGTTTATGAACTCTGGCTCCTTCATTTATGGGTTTTATTGGCCTCTTATCAAGCAGTTACCTATTGACGCCCATAACGAGGCAGATGACTGGTACAGATGGGAAAGTTCAGGCCTGCCTGGATTATGTGTATTTATTGGCTCTGGCATCCCCCTCCCTGGTCAGCATCAAAGCGAGCCCCACCTGCTCCAGGAATTGGAAAGGAGAATGAACTCAGGGCACCTCAGGGCACAGGTCAGGGGCCACTGGGGAAGAGGCTGTGGCCTGAATTCGGGAAGATTCTGAGGAGGGTCCAAGTGCAGAGTCAGAGCCCTCCCAGGTGTCTGCAGGGCAAGCTCTTGCTCTCTGCCTCTTCCAGCCCTGAGATCCGAGCTTATCACCTCAACGTGAACTTCTCAGACCTAAGTTTAACTACTTAGCCATGGGAATTCAGCAGCAGAAGGAAGCAGGAAGCTGGCGCGGGAGTGCTTGCTGTGGTGAAAGGTGCCAAAGGGCTGCTTAATTGTAGCAGATTAAAGTGCGCATGCATACGTGTGTATGTGTGCATGCATCTGTGCATATATGCAGGTGGGGCAAATGCAGGCCATGGCCTCTCCCTGCCAATCCTAAGGCTGTGAGCGAAACCAACCCTCGATCTAGACTCCTTCAGCCTTGTGACGTTGATGGAGTTAGAAGACTTTGGTTCCAGCTGACCTTGCTAGCCATGGAACCTTGTGCAAGACACTCCTTATCGTGAGGCCTCAGTTTTCAACCCACAGAGGGAAGTGTTGAAATGGAGGACGGCTGAGGTCCTTACCAGTACTCAACTCCTTCTGCAACCCCCTAGAGACCTAAAGATGCTTAGCTGGAGCCAGTGCAGACGGTCTGGCGAGGGGAAGGGGAGCAGTTTTAAACAAGAAGTGAGGCTCACCTTGATATTTCCGTTGGCATCCAAGAGGATATTCTCCAGCTTGAGATCCCGGTGGACAACCCCGTTCTGAAAGAGGGAGGGCAGGGGTCAGGGGAAGGCCATCAGGAGAGACGGACCTGAGGACCTATCCTGGACAGTGAGGAAGCATCAAAAGGAGGTCAGCACAGATAGGCAGGGAGCCCATCTTTACCGCTACAGGCACAACAAACCACAGCTCCTTCCAACCCCGGCCAAGAGACTTGAAGCCAGAGATGCCAACACTCCCTCCGCTGAGTGAAGAATTACACCTCGCCTTGGTTTCCTCCCTGTGTGATCCCGGCGTCACGGGGCCTCTCTGGGGAAGCCAGCTGCCGGGCCCAGGGATTGCCCCCTCGGCGCCGGCGGGCACGCACCTGATGGCAATACTGCACAGCGGAGACGATCTGCCGGAAGAAGTGCCTGGCCTCGCGCTCGCTGAGCCGCTGCCGCTCGCTGATGTGGTCATATAGGTCCCCTCGGCTGGCGTACTCCATGACGATCACGATCCTGCTGCTGTTCTCAAACACTGGGGTGGAGGGGGGCAGTAGAGTCAGGCCTTTTGGAGGGCTCGCTCCCGCCAGGGGCCACACCCTCCTCCAGGCCCCAAACCAGACATCTGTAAGAGGGCGGGGAGGCTGCCTGCTGATGCTCCCAGCACCTTCCAGAAGCAATGAGTTCAGGCCAAAAGGACTGGCTCACCTCCCTCTCCTTGGAAGTTCAGGCTTCTGAGCATTCTTACAACTACCCTAAGAATTCTGAGACATCACTGGATAAGAATGAAAAGTCAGGCTCCCTGGTTCAGAATTCAGTACTTTTTTGCTTGGGCAAATCTCTTCCAGATACATCAGTAAAGACACAGGTTTGGGATTTGCATCCTGGCCCCATCACTTACAAGCTGGGTGACCATGGCAAGTTATTAAATCTGCACCTCAGTTTCCTCATTTGAAGAGGGATAATGACAGCAATTTCATAGGGCTGGGGCGAGAAATAGATAAAAACAAGTGACAGCTCTCGGGCTGGCTAAGCGAGCTGGTGTGGAGCCTGACAAACAAGCCAGCACTCAATATACGGTCCCTACTGTCATAGTTATTATTAGCATCCTCATGCATAAACTTGAAAAATAATACCCAGAAGATCAGAAGAGGGATAAAAGCATATGAAAGTGGTTTGTAATCCACGGAGAGCTGAGACACTCATCACTCTTAACTTCTTTGATTTCCCGTCCAGAGTATTCAGGCCCGGGCCTTGTACACAGAAACAATCAATAAATATTTGATAATTAATTGACTGGCTGGGCTCCTGGCGGTCAGCCTATTCCAGCTGGCTCATCTCCACATATGGGAGGGGCCTGCTTGCCACCACAGGCCTTGTCTGTTCTCCTGGAAAAGCAGGGAACTGCTGGTTCATCAAACTGGCCCTTCAGCTGGGTGTGTGTCAAAACATGCATGTCCATGACACTGCATCTTTGTGTCAAGCGGGTCCTATGAGTCTGGCTTGCTCAGCCAACCCTAGAGCGATTCCTGTCTAGTCTGGGAGAAGGAGTTGAGAGAGCAGGCTACTCCCAGGGAGAGTCCAAGCTCCCAGGCAGCTGGGTATCTGGCCAGGAAGACTGTGCTTTTCCCCAGGAGAGCACCATGGCCCAGACTACTGGGGCCTGCCTAGAGACTCCAACCCTGTGGGTCTCCACAACCCTGCAGGGTGTGTGTAAACTCTGTGCCACGGAACTGGGGGTCAGGAGCCAGCCAGGGCACATTCTGGAGAGCAGCTGTGTTAGAGGTCAGTTCCCAGGACTGGAGCTTTCTCCTTAGTCCGAACCCCTGAAAGCCGGGGAAGGGGAAGGAACCGGGAAAACCCCGCCAAGTAAAAAAGAACCGAGAAAACCCAAAAACCCCCGAACCCGAAAGGGCAAAAAAAAAAAAGTAAAATCCAAACCTCAAAAAAAAAGTCCCAAAACCAAGTTGGAGATAGGGGTTAGAGGAAGATTTCTCACATACACACACACACCACCAAGCTTAGCCTGGCTTAACCAATACTCTATCATCTGCCCACTCTCCCCTGGGGGGATATACACAGAGATACAATTAGCCTTCTCAGCCACTTGCTTGGCTTCCTCATGGGACAGGTTCAGGCCAGGGGACCATGGCAGTGGTTCTGCTCTTAAGCCTTCTTCTAAACAGAACTTGAGCGAGGAGACCTCTCTTCCTTCCACCAGGAATATTCAGGCTGAGGGCAAAGCCACAGGCTCCCCTCCTCCCTCCTGCTGCTCCTGCCATTCCTCGCTTCCTAAGTGATATTATGTAAAGGCTGCCAGCAGACGGGCGTGTGTGGGAGGCTGCTGCCTGTCTTTCCCGTGTCACCATCTCTCGCTCACTTTGTTGTCTGGGTCACGGGGAGCAGGGCAGCTGGAGAGGAGAACCAGCACTGATGTCAGTGCAAGAGGAGGCAGAGAGATACGAGGACAGGTAGGAACCAGCCTCACGGCGGGAGTGATTCAGAGGATAGGAGGCTTGGTTCTTGAGACGTACAAAGAAAAATCGCACCCACACGCCTGAGACAGGTGCAGGTCTCCATGTGTTTCAGCTGCCCCCACAGTGCCAAGGCTCTCACTGGGTTTGGGGAGGCAGTGTTTAAGTACAGAAAACCTAAGAACAAACATGCCTACAATCTGTGGAGTTCCTCTCTTGAGCTGAATACTTGATGACATTAAATTTGATCTTTGCAACAACCTTGTGACGCAGGCGAGATTATCTCATTTTACAAAAGAGGAACTGAGACCCAGAGACTACATTAGTTGCCCAAAGTCATTCAGCAGGCTTCAGATCCAGCTCTTGCCCAAGCCTAAAGCCCATGCCTTTTTTTACTCCTGTGTGTCATCTGTTCTGACTGCGCATGTGCACGCACACACACTCTCAGCTTCAAATGCTCTGCCTCTGTACCTTCGTGGATGGCAATGATGTGGGGGTGGTTGAGTGATGACATGATCTCAATCTCTCGCCGAATGTGCATCAGATCTTGTTCATCTTTGATTTTGTCTTTCCGGATAGACTTGATGGCCACCTGGGAACAGAGGATGCAGGAGTGTGAGGAGAAAGTCCTGGCAAGCAAAGGCATCCCTGAGGACACTCTGGGGGAGCCCTGACCCTGGTGATCTGCCTCCAGCTGCTACAAAGGCCATAGGTTGCAGCCAGAGAAGCCTCTCCACCCTTCACTGGGGCAGGCATCAGAGAGGCTAGAGAGAACCTTCTCTGCGGAAGATTCTTGCCTGGGTTGGGTGCAGTTTATGTAGCAGGAATGAGGACAAGTCAATGACCTCACTTGGAGTACGGATAGGTGAAGACGGTAGGTAACAACGTGTACTTGTAAGGCTGATGCTTCATGATTCAAAGCAAATTTATCTTGCTTCACCACGAGGAAAGGACTGGGCCTCTTTTGCTCCCCACTGGGTGGTGAGCACAGCGCCTGGCACGCAGTAGGCACTGAATAGCCATTTGTTGCAGCTGTCACTGAGCTGGCCCTCTCAAGCAGCCTGAGAGGCAGGCACGGGAAGAACCCCCACCCGCATTTCCAGGTGAGGAAGCGCGTTCCTAGAGAGGCTGTTTCTTTCCTGTTCAACGTCACACAGGCACTCACTGGCAGACTGGCTTGCTCTGTTGACCCATGTTTGATACTTCTTCCACCACAGCCCTCTAATTTGCTACTAACAGTTTCCAGCTAAAAGGTGGGAAACAACCCAGAGGTCTGTTAAGGGATGACTGATCAGACAAGATATGGTATGTTCACACAATGGGAGAATGAAGTACCAATAAATATGTGCCCAACACTGACAGACCTGGAAAGCATGCTCAAAGAAGCCAGACACACAGGGACCAATGCTGCACGGCTGTACTCATCTGAGTCACTAGGACAGACGTTTGTCTGTCTACACAGACACCACGCACTACAGAGAGGAGGAGGCTGGTTACCAGGGATGGGGTGCGGAGGCGACGGGCAGTTATTGCCTAGTGGATACCGAGCTTCCATTTGAGATGACGAAGAGGTTTTGGAAATGCATAGTGGTAATGATGTACAGCACTGTGAATGTACTGAATTGTACACTTAAAATGATGACAATGGTAAATTTTACATATGTCTTACCCCACATACAAAAGTGAAGTTGCTCAGTTGTGTCTGACTTTTTGCGACCCCATGGACTGTAGCCCACCAGGTTCCTCCGTCCATGGGATTTTCCAGGCAGGAGAAGTGGAGTGAGTTGCCATTTCCTTCTCCAGGGGATCTTCCCAACGCAGGGATTGAACCGAGGTCTCCCACATTGTAGGCAGGCGCTTTACCGTCTGCACCACCAGGAAGTCCCCGCTTACAAAAAGATCACCCAAAAAAGTTATGAAAAAAGTACCAGCCTTTTCAGTCCAGGTGAACAGTAAGGTCTCTCCCCCAGCAACAAACCACCAGACAGTTAAACAGAGTCCTCTGGGCTTTGCTATCTTGTCTGTAAAGGTGAACATTCCATATAAGGATTAAACTGGCTGGTGCGCGCGGTGGGTTCAGGAAGGGTGGAGTGAGGCAGAGGAAATGGAGAAAGAACTGCCAAGAAGCCACTTCAGCACAGCTCTTAGACACAGAGGGGTCCGGGCCTCTGTCCCGCCACGCGGAGCAGGGCGACAGAGGAGCAGCGTGCGTGGAGCGCGGGTAGTCGGCGAACCGGCCCTCCAGGCTCTGCTGTCCTCCCGTGGCCTCGGAGCTCCGAGAGCAACGGGCTGCACTAAGGAGGATGTATGCCACGCTCTCCTCTGCTTCTGGGAAATGGCCCTATACATGCCACGGGCCGCGGGAGTCGGCCACGCGGGCGCCAGGGCCGGGGAGGGTGAGGTGTCACCGACGCGGGCCCAGACAGCTCCTGTCCCAGGGCACGAAGGGCAAACACGAGCCTCCCCCTTCCCCGAGCCTGGGGGGCTGTAAGAAACCTGCGGAAAACGGCCCCTAGGTCCTTCCCCGGGAGGGTTTGCCGTCCCTCCAGGTTCAAAAGGAGCCCGCGGGCCGGCCGCCCACCCCCTTTCCCAGGGCTCCGGGCAGACAAAGGCTTCCTGCTCCCGACGCGCCCGCGGGGCTGTGTCCCCTCAGCCAGGAATGCGGAACCGCCGTAATCCGCAGATCCGCGCTCACAATGGCCGGTCACCCCAGCAACGGCCAGGGACAGCGTTCCCGAGAGAGGGGCGGCCGGGGAGCGGAGCCGTGGCCCGAGAGAGGGGCGGCCGGGGAGCGGGGCGGCGGCTCGCGAGAGGGGCGGCTGGGCGGGCGCGGACAATGGCGGCGCGAGGGGCGGTCGCCATGGCGCCTTCTGCCCCCGCCCCCGCAGGGGCCCCGCTGCAGCAGGCCCGAGAGAGGGGCGGCCGGGGAGCGGGGCGGCGGCCCGAGAGAGGGGCGGCTGGGCGGGCGCGGACAATGGCGGCGCGAGGGGCGGTCGCCATGGCGCCTTCTGCCCCCGCCCCCGCAGGGGCCCCGCTGCAGCTGCAGGCCGGCTGCGCCTCAGCGTCTCCTCACGCCCTCCACCCCTCCTGCGCCAAACGACCCCAAGGAGCCAGCGAAGCAGAAAAATCCCCGGCTTAGAACTGGACAGGGGCCGGGGATGGGGGAAGGGGCTTAAATCCTCCTCCAACCACGGGGCTTCAACCTGCAGCTTGGTTCCTCACCACCTCTCCTATACCCTTTTTCTCCCCCTGAAGGGGAGATATTATGGACTAGTTCTTTTCTCTTTAAATTCTTTGTTTTAAAAATCAGGTAATACCGTGAGCTCTTCAGAGAAAGGGCCATAAATTGAATCTATTTATGTAAAAGGAAAATCACATATAAATCACATACTTAGATAATGAAACAAATATTTGAGAATTTATGATACATATGCAAAACCTAGGCATATCTCAGATGTACAACTGTGCACACACAAACATACACAATGAGCAAATCACTGTAGGCAGGGTCAGAGCTCTAAAGAAGACAGGCGGAACAGGAGAGAGGTCTCAAAAAACTAGAGGGCCCTGAGGGGTGCTAGGAGGAGTCACTGCATGCGCAGAGGGCGTACAAGTTGAACCCTGAAATCCATTCTGGAAACCTACGATTAAAACCAGAATTGTTAATCCTCCATGGACAGTCCCATCCCCCTGCCAGCTCATGCTCTGGACTCAGGGGGCAAGGTTAAGGTCCCTCCCGCCATTATCTATACTAGTCTTAGGAGACCACAGTTTGGCTGGCACTTCCCAGGAAGGAAACAGGTTAGGTCATTCCTCAAGCAAGTGACAGACAAGAAGAGCAATGTGTCACTGCCCGGGTGGGCCTGGGGCACTTCCCCCACCCACCCTAGCCCCACCAGACAGGCCTCTTAACTGCTGGAGAGCCTGTCAAGGTATATGAGATGAGGCAACAGCTCAGGCTTAGAAGGAGCTCAGCATACAGAAGACACTCAACTGTTTACTGGTGAACACAAATCACAAATAAATATTTATTGGTTAAGTCACTGGGCTGATCCCTGGGACCGATGGGACCAGTGCCCAAAAAAGATTTTCTGCCCTTTTTGTGAGGCATGGGTGGAGTTAACCTTGTTTACTAGAATTCATTTCGAGGGACCTTTGTTCTCATATGCAAGATAGTTGAGCAACCACTCTCCAGAATTAAAATATAGCGACCAGAGTAAAGGAAGAGAAAGACACTTGCTGAACGGATCACCCAGAGACAGGAAAGCCACCTGCGCATGGACAATCCCGGTTCATCCCATGTAATTAATAGTGCCCTTTTTACTCTCTGAAGTATTTAGGCTGAGATGTTATATTACATGGCCACCCGACTCAGAAGGGCCAGGAAACTGAAACACAGTAATGACAACATAAATGTGAACATTAGATCAGTGGAGGGGTGCCAAGAGCCCAGGTATCTAATCCTTATTTGCCCCTTTGGAGCTATGCAACGCAAGACAAGTCACTTAAATGATCTGGTTAACTGGTCTGGCTAGTTTTAATGTCCTCATCTGAAAAATAAAAGGGCATTTATTCTCCAAACATTCGCTGAACGCCTACTACATGTCTGGCACTACGGTAGGTGTTGGATTCAGACAAAAACCAGATAGTCCCTGCACCAAAGCCCTTGATCCAGTCAAGTGTGATTGAGATCCCTGCCTGCCCAGGGGCTGCAAGAGCACTGGATAGCTTTGCCTGGAGGAGCAAGGCGAGTCACCCCTGGGAGAAAACTTCATTTTAGATCTTGAAGGAAGAGTGGGGTTTACCAAGCTAAGGCACATAGGCTTTTGGAGGGGGGCAACAAGGGCACTCCAGGCAGAGAGAAAGGTTTAAGAACACACCAGAAAGAAAGGAAAGGAACTATTCATGAATTTGCACACCAGAATCTCCAAGCTCACTTCTAAACTCCAGCATTTTCTGTTGAGCTTCTTTAGAAATGGGTCACCTGCTACCATGCCAGGAAGGTGCTGGCCAAGGATTGTTATAATGGGCTTATTCAGAGGCCCCATGCCATAACCGTGTTAACCTGCCTGAGCAAAATTCCTATTGATAGCAGCCCAGTGATTTTCTTGCTTCTGTGGCCCTGCCTGCCTGAAAGGCAGCATGGCTAATTCCCCATCCCATTTTGCAAATGCAAACACTGAAGTCCAGAAAGGTGATTCTTCCCAGGTTCCTCAACAAGGCCAGGCTGTCAGGATCCAAGATGGAGGGTTGCTGCGTGGAGAAGCTACCATCTCAGAAGACAAAAGGTCCTTACAGATGCTCTGGCATGCCTTCAACCCCTGGAGAAGGGAATGCCCTACACCCTGCCTTGGGCCGGGCTGTGCAGTACCACCAGCCACCATCAACCCACTTACAGACAGACAAACATGTTGGACAGACGGGTGCTGAGGTCAACTGGTTAAACACTGCCTTCTCTCCTTCTAATCCCCACAGGAACTCAGATCAAGAATAATATGCATTCCTGGAGAGGATGGCAGAAAGATCTTAGAAAAAGATGATCTACAGGTACTGGCTGCAGACGACAAGAGAGAGGGTACAAGGTGGGCATCTCTGGTCATAGCTATCAGCCAGAGTTGGAGCCAAGATCCTTGACTCCTTTTAGGCCTTTCACGGAGCAGCTGCCTCTGAGAGGCAGGGTGAGGAGCTGGAGGATGACCCATTTAGATTACAGAGGAGAAGCTGGGCTGGGCTGGCAGAGTGGGGATAGGCCTGGGGGTGGTTCACCATCCCACCAAGCCTTCCAGAGAACCAGGCAGACACCAGGAATGGCTTCTGAGGGGAGGGGCGCCACCTCCCCTACATTCCATGCTGTGCCCACTCCTTCTTTGCCACCCTCCGGCCCCTTCTGCCAGACAAGGCGCTTCCCTGCCCAGCCCTCCTGCACAGCTTGGCCAAAGCCCAGGAACAGGAGTCACCTGCAGGCAAAGTCTCCCTCCCGGCCCTGAGCAGGCAGGTGCAGCAGGAGCTGGGAGGGCAGCATCGCACAGAAGAGGCCGCTGGCAGCTGGCCAGGTGGGAGCTCTTCTCTGGATCAGGGGCTAAAGGAGAGACTGGGACTCTGAACAAGGCAGAGACCAAAGGGCTTAAGAAAGTTGAGCACAAGCCATTCTTTTCCTCAGGGCAGGACAGACCCAGGATGGAGGGACTCCCCCTTCCCCAGGAGAGGGAGAGGAGGACCGTGACAAAGCCGGCCTTGTGAGGGTAACACTACTGTGTGTTGACATAGTAGTTGACATGTCAGCTACTGTGCTGACATGCATATTACCTTATTTAATCCTAGGAGAACCCCACGAGGTAGGAATTATTATAATCCCCACTTTACAGATGAGGAAACTGAGATACAGAGAGGTCCCACGGCTCGGAAGCAGCAGAACTGGGATTTTGAATGCTTGCACCCTGATGCTAAGCTGAGCAGTTTTCCTGACAAAGAAAAAGCCTCGAATGTAGGGGAGTTCACCCACTCAGGATCCCTGGGCACAGGCAGTGAGGACGTGGGGGTGGGGGTTGTTCCCAAAGACTCCTCCCACTCTCAGTGTGCCTGGAGCTCCGGGAAGGGCAGCTGGAGCTCACTGCTGGAATGACAGAGCAAACTGAGGCAAGCCCGGGCTCAACCCATAGCCAGCTCCCAGTCCAAGGCTCAGTCCTGCTCATCTCGCACTGGGTGGTCAAGTCAGGAGCCGATGTTGCAGGCGTGCCACTAACCAGGCCCAGGACATGTCACCTGCCCTCCCTGGGCTTCAGTTTCCCCATCTGTCAATGAAGGAATCAGACCATCTCGGTCATGTTCAAACATTTTGAAATCCCACACAACAATCCAATATATAAATGAGACAGAAGCTCCCCTGGCCCAGATCACTCTCCCCTTGGACTCCGCTCGTGCAGGTAAGAACTCTATGCAGACCACCTAACAGCTGCGGTGGCCTCCACAATTCCAGGCACCCAGCAGGTGTTTTTCTTCCTGCGGGAGGGCGTAGGTCAGGACAGCTAGGAGAGTCACAGGAGGAAATATCATGTGGATACCAGGAATGTACTCAGACCTAGAAGATCCAGAGCAAATATTTATTTTTCCTTTAATGTCCTCCTGGAGTAGCCCTTAGTCCTGCCCACCTGCCCCTCCCCCCAGACAATCCCATCAGGCCCCTGAGAATCCCATCAGACAGGCTGGGAATTGGGAATGGGGCGGAAGTCACCCAGCAGGCTTTCCTCTGACCCTCTTCCCCAAAGACCTTGGTTCATTTTGGGGGAGGTTGTGGGCTGCTCC